GTTCAACAAGCAGAAATGCAGAGTCCTGCACTTAGAATGGGACTGACTGGTTAAGCAGCAATTCTGGAGAAAAGGACCCGGGGATTGCAGTGGACAAGAAGCAGTATATGAGTCAGTAGTTTGCCCTTGTTACCAAGAAGGCTAACAGCATATTGGGCTGCATTAGTAGGAGTATTGCCAGCAGATGTAGGGAAGTGATTATTGCCCCCTATTCGGCACTGGTGAAGCCACATCTGGAGTATTGCATCCAGTTTTGGGCCCCACAACAGAAAGTATGTGGACAAAATGGGGAGAATCCAGCTGAGGGCAACAAAAATGATGAGGGGGCTAGGGAACATGACTTATGAAAAGAGGATGAGAAAACAGGGTTTATTTAGTTTGTGGAAGAGAAAAATGAGGGAGGATTTGATAGCAACCTTCAACTACCTGAAGGGAAGTTCTAAAGAGGACGGAGCCAGGCTATTCTCAGTGGTGGCAGATGACAGAACAAGAAGCAATGGTCTCAAGTTGCAGGGGGTGGGTGGAGAGATCTAGGTTGGATATGAGGAAAAAACTATTTCACTATAAGGGTAAAAGGTTGGCTTGAGAAAGCCCTGGCTGGGATGATTTAGTTGGAGTTAGTCCTGTTTGGAACATAGGGTTGGACTAGATAGATGACCTTCTGATGTCTCTTCCAACCCTAATCTTCTATGATTCCACACTGCCGCTTCATAAATACATGGTATGCCCACATCTCGAATACCGTGTGCAGATGTGATTGCCACATCTTACAAAAGATGGAAAAGGAAAAGGTACTGAAAAGGGCAACAAAAATGATTAGGGGCAAGTAACAGCTTCTGTATGAGGAGAAATTAATACACCTGGGACTTTTCAGCTTGGAAAAGAGACGACTAGGTTCGGATATGATAGAAGTGTATAAAATCATGACTAGTGGGGAGAAAGTAAATAAAGAAGTGCTATTTACTCCTTTTCATAACACAAGAACCAGAGGCCATAACCAAATGAAATGAATAGGAAGCAGGAAACAAAAGAAAGTATTTCTTCACACAACACAGAGACAGTCTTTGAAAGACTTTGCCAGGGGATGTTGTGAGGGCTAAGACTATAATAGGGATCAGAAAAAAATGGATATGCTCATGGAGATTAGGTTCATGAAAAGCTATTAGCCAGGTTGGGAAGGACTGCATACCTAGCCTCTGTTTGTCAGGGCTGGAAATGAGTGACAGCAGAGGATCACTTGATGATCACCTGTTCTGTTGATTCCCTCTGGGGCACCTGGCATTGGCCATTGTCAGAAAGCAAAGTACTAGGCTAGATGGATCTTTGCTCTGAACCAGTATGGCCACTGTTAAGTATGTTTTAATGAGCCCCTCTGACTCAGAAAACTAGGGTGATACATACACACTATGGCCATATCTATGCTAGCACTTATATTGGCAAAATGTTAGTTGCCCTAAGGTGGGTGGGGGGGAGCTGAGGGGGCAGTTTGAATTGAAGTGCTAGGATTTAGCACAGTAATCCATAATTTTACATCAAAGTAGTGTATCATAGCACACTTCACCACTGCACTGCATTCCTAGTACTTGCTAGAGTGAACAATGCATGTAAGCCTCTTCAGATACATAGATAGATAACTGGGAGCTTTCTGTTATCTTGTTAATTACACATCTTTTAGCTATTTCAGCCATAAACAAGCAAACTTCAGCAGTCAGGGTCATTATATCCATAATTTTTAATGCTGCAGGTCTGTGGATCCAAAGAGTGGATTTACAGAAATCCACCTACACTGTAGACTGAGAGAGATACTGTTGATAATACACTTCACTTTAAAAGGTAGCCTTGGTATAATTCAATGCTAGTTATTGATCAATTAGTTAAAAAAACAAAGAATTTCATTCTTGAAACATGACATGTTAGAGAATTTACTTGTATGTAAATAATTGATAGAAATGTGAGCTGGGTGTCCAGAAGCATTGTGAAAGGCATGCCTGGCAGTAAAGTGAAAGGCTTGTTATGATTTTTGTTTTGACCAATGCATGCTGTCGGTGGCATGTGGCAGCTGAAAAACCAGTGTTAAGATCTTGTGTTGATCAGTTATTGCAAAGGGGGGTAGAAGTTCCTTAGTTGAAAAAATAAATACCCAATGTAGGGATAAAATAGCAAATAGCCCATTAATATGTAGGTAAGATTCTGAAACATGGTCTCTGGTTAAGCTTTTCCACATAGGCTTACACTGCCCAGCCTGGGCAGGGGCATGAGGCCTAGCCAACAGTCAACAGGCCCTAGAAATAACACAGAAAAACAGTCCTGCCTGTGTATCACAAATGGAAGGAGCCAAAGTAGCATAACATTAGGTGGGAAACCATAACTGAACACCCTTATCATGAGTTTCACACACACAAATAAGGCCAAGGCCCTCATACTCTGCCTCATAGGGTACGTCTAGACTACAGAGTTTTGTCGACAGAAGTTTTGTCGACAGATCCTGTCGACAAAGCTTCTGTCGACAAAGGGCGTCTACACTACATTCAGTTCTGTCGACAAATCAAGTTGCTTTGTCGACATGGCAGTGTAGACGCAAGGACAGTTTACATGCAATAACACCTTCTGTCGACAGAACTCTGTCGACAGAAGGCGTTATGCCTCGTAAAATGAGGTTTACCAGCGTCGACAAAACTGCTGAGTTCTGTCGACGTTATGTCGACAGAAAGCTTTGTCGACAGGATCTGTCGACAAAACTTCTGTCGACAAAACTCTGTAGTCTAGACACATCCATAGTCTGCCATCCAGCATGGGAAAGAAACAACAACTGCTTTCCCAAGGACAACCACAGATTCAGGGAAAGGCCTAACACGTCACTATGGGTATGTCTAGACTACACCTCTCTGTCTACAGAGAGATGTAGATTAGTCATGTTGAAATTGCTGACGAAGCAGGATTTAAATATCCTGCACTTCATTAGCATAAACATGACCACCGCTTTTTTTCAACACGGAGTTTTTTCGAAAAAAAAACCCAGCAGTCTAGACGTGGATCTGTCGAAAATAAACCCTTTTTCAACAGATCAATGTCTAGACTTAAAGATCAGAGGGGCTGGCGCGACCATGCTGTCTCACCTCCACCGAGCCCAGGGCATGGAGCGGGGCCAAGGGCAGGCCACAGCCACTGAAGCTCTCTCCCTAGCTACCCGCGAAGCGAGCTTACCTCACATGCGGCGAGCCCTGGGGGCAATGGCAGCCAGGCCCGGGCTCGTGTGAGTGGTGGGGCTCCTGAGCTGGCTTCAGGACAACAGTGACTCCCACTGCACAGTGCCTGGAAAGGGCTGGGATCCCGCACCAGGCTGGCTCCAGTCAGGCCCGCATCAGCTGCGCTGCAAGCTTCCCCTGGCTGACAGGAAGCTCTCCCCTCCCTCCGTGCCCAGCACTGAGGCACTGACCCTTCTTTCCAGGTGGCCGCCTGGGGCGGCAAGAGTGTGTGCTCCCCCTGCAGGCGGCTGACTCCGCCGCCCCACCCATTGCCTTGGTTAGCCAAGGCTGGCCGGAATGCTGCCCTTGGAAATGTGCCACCCCAAGCACGTGCTTAGTTTGCTGGTGCCTAGAGCCGGCCCTGAACCAGAGCAAAGTATCTGAACATCTCAAAGCTATTCCTCATAACCCTGGATCACTACAAGTCCGTCCTCAATTCTCTGTCAGTCTGACACATTCCTGACCCACAGACTTCAATTCCTTGACCACATTTTTTCCTGTAGAGTGCTCACAGGGCCTCCAACCCTTAGGCTGTCAGATATGGGTCTATGTTGTAGCCATGCCATAGAATCATAGAATCCTAGGGCTGAAGAGATCCAGGAGGTCATCAAGTCCAGTCCACTGCCCAAAGCAGGACCAATCCCAACCAAATTATCCCAGCCAGGGCTTTGTCAAGCTGAGACTTAAAAACCTGTAGGGATGGAGATTCCACCACTTCCCTAGGTAACCCATTCCAGTGCTTCTCCACCCTCCTAGGGAAATATTTTTTCCTAATATCCAACCTAGACCTCCCCCACTGTAACTTGAGACCATTGCTTCTTGTTCTGCCATCCGTCACCACTGAGAACAGCCTCGCTCCACCCTTTTCGGAAACTTCCTTCAGGAAGTTAAAGGTTGCTATCAAATCCCCCTTTCACTCTTCTCTTCTGCAGACTAAATAAGCCCAAATCCCTTAGCATCTCATCATAGGTCATGTGCGCCAGCTCCCTAATCATTTTGGTTGCCCTCCTCTGGATTCTCTCCAATACATCCACATCCTTTCTGTAGTGGGGGCCTCAGAATTGCGCTCAATACTCCAGATGTGGCCTCACCAGTGTCAAATAAAGGGGAATAATCACTTCTCTAAATCTGCTGACATTGCTCCTTCTAATGCATCCTAATATTCCATTAGCCTTCTTGACTACAAGGGTACACTGTTGACTCATATCCAGCTTCTCATCCACTGTAATTCCCAGGTCTTTTTTCTGCTGAACTGCTACCTAGCCAGTTGGTCCCCAGCCTGTAACAATGCCTGGGATTCTTCCATCCCAAGTGCAGGACTCTGCACTTGTCTTTGTTGAACCTCATCAGATTTCTTTTGGCCCAATCCTCTAATCTATCTAGGTCACTCTGGACCCTCTCCCTGCCCTCCAAAATATCTACCTCTCCCCCTAGCTTAGTGTCAAACAAACTTGCTGAGGGTGCAATCTATCCCCTCATCCAGGTCATTAATAAATATGTTGAACAAAACTGGCCCTAAAACCAATCCTTGGGGCACTCTGTTTGAAACCGACCACCAACTTGACATCAAGCCATTGATCCCTACCCATTGGGCTCACCAGTCTAACCAGCTTTCTATCCACCTTACAGTCCATTTATCCAATCCATATTTCCTTAACTTGCTGGCAAGAATATTGTGGGAGACTGTATAAAAAGCTTTGCTAAGGGCAAGGTATATCACATCCACTGACTTCCCCATATCCAAGAGCCACTTACCTCATCACAGAAGCTAATCAGATTGGTCAGGCATGACTTGCCCTTGGTGAATCCATGTTGACTATTCTTGATCACATTCCCCTCTTCCAAGTGCTTCAAAATGGATTCCAGGGACTAAGGTGAAGCTGACCGCTCTATACTTCCCTGGATTGTCCTTCTTTACTTTTCAAAAGATAGGCACTATATTTGCCTTCTTCCAGTCATCTACGATCTCTCCCGATCTCCATGAGTTTTCAAAGATAATGGTCAAAGGCTCTGCAATGCCATTTGCCAACTCCCTCAGTATCCCCGGATGCATTAAATCCAGACCCATGGATTTGTGTATGTCTAGCTTTTCTAAATAGTTCTTAACTGGTTCTTTCTCCACTGAGGGCTTCCCACCTCCTTCCCATACTGCATTGCCTAGTGCAATAGTCTGGGAGCTGATGTTTTCTGTGAAGACAGAGGCAAAAAAAAAGCATTGAGTACTTCAACTTTTCCCACATCATCTGTCACTACGTTACCTCCCTCATCCACACCCCACACCCTCTCTGATCACCCTCTTATTGCTAATATGCCTGTAGAAACTTTTCTTGTTACCTTTCACATCCCTTGCTAGCTGCAGTTCCAATTGTGCTTTCGACTTCCTGCATTCTCGAGCAATATATTTATACTCCTCCCTAGTCATCTATCCAAGTTTCCACTTCTTGTAAGCTTCCTTTTTGTGTTTAAGCTCACCAAGGATTTCCCCAGTAAGCCAATTTGGTTGTCTACCATATTTGCTTTTCTTACTGTGCATTGGGATGGTTTCTTCAAAATACTGCCAGCTCTCCTGGACTCCTTTCCCCTTCATGTTCACATCCCAGGGGATCCTGCCCATCAGTTTTCTGAGGGAGTCCAAGTACTTTTTTGAAGTCCAGGGTCAGTCCCAGGATATTACAAAGACCTGTGAGCCCTAATTCTTGGCGCATTAAAATACATTTGTGTTAGGGCTTCCCTTCAGAGATGACACAAAGCTCATTGTGTTGCATACCAAAGCACATGATGATCAAATGCACAAATGCCCAGGGCCCAAGAGGGCTTTTTTCCCCTTAAATTTTTCTGCCAGTGCTACTCATGGTAGTTCTAGTTTTGAAAAGGAGCTGGTGACATTTTAACATCATCTAGCAAATGTAAGAATTTTTTTGCAATGTGTACAAGATACTGCTGCCACTGTTAGAGCTGCGGGACTTCTCAATGGGATCTTCCAAAGGGCAGGGGAGCTGACACTCGCCAAAGAGCTCTGAGGCGAGGAAGGTTCATTAGGGATTTTGCTGGTTGCTTCACTGGTATGGACTGTGGTTAAAATGAAAAACAAAACAGTAAAGGCACAGTTGATGCCATTTGAATGAAAGCTATAGCACAAAAATAGCTCACCCAGCTTCCACTGATAAAAGCTTGCTCTGTTCAGGCTGTGTTTTTATCAAAGACCATCAAAGACCAGCAATGGAGAAACATTCTTTGATGAGGAACAACAAACATCATTCTTTGATGAGAAAATAGCTGCAGAATAGGAGCTAAAATTTTATCAGCTGTATTTATGGAGTGAGGTGTTTTTACTACTGAAGTACTGAATCTGAGAAATTATATCACTTTAAGGAGGAAAGGATCACAACTGATCTCAGACAAAACAGTGTAAGGGTTGTTGAAGTTAGTGAGAGCCACAGTTTTTAGGCTTCTTGGTTTGCTTTTTTGCCATATACATATCTTTGCTCCTACAAATATAGCAATATATGCTCATTTTATAGAAGGGAATTCTGTTTAGATTAATTTAAAACATGGGCCAAATGCTCCCATCGTTAATCTAATTCACCAATCAGTGCTCCATCCCATAACATTTTTCTTGAGTCCATGGTAAGGGTTGATGCCTGTTCTCACTAAGTCAATAGCGAAACTCTCACTGAGTCCAGTGGGTGAAAGATAAAGTCCTAAGAACAGTAAAGATCTGCCCTGAGTATTTGGGAAACATGCACAAGTGTAAGGTGAGTTCTACAAATTACATCTCCTAGTCCTCTTACAGAGGGCAGAGGTGTTCATGAAACCGAATCTTCCTAAAAATTAAGTTAGAGCCTTTACAGCAGAAAATGAATGTGTAAAATCAAGACCTGGTGCAAATAGTAGGGCTGCCACCTACCTAGGTTTCCCCTGGGTCATCCCTTTTTTGAGGTAGCTATCCTAGGAAATCTGTAAGAGTGTCAGTAGACACTGTCAATTGGCCAGTTGAATGGGCTCACAATCATTGCAGCCATCTCTTTTTTGGTACATTAGAGGTGGCCACCTTAGGAAGTGGCCATAAATCCCATGAAAATCTAGGATAAATTCCACTTGAGACTGCAAACTCTTTGAGATAGGGTGTCCATTTACTATGTTTGTACAGCAACACAACAGTATCCTCACCTGATTGGCCTCCGGCTGCTACTGCAATATAAATGTTCAACAGCATCTTAACTGGTGGTATAAATTACACATCAAGTTAGATTGATCAGAAAACTGAAGAATAAGGGGAGATTTGGACTACTGTGGGTGTGCAGAGAGTGGGTCAAGTGGATGAGAAGGAGCTCTAGCTAACAGGAAGGTGTAAAATAAAGCAGGCCTCTCCCACACTCTATTTTCATCCTTCCTAGTAGTTGTTTTCCCTTTTTCATTGGCTTGGCATCTAAATTACACTTCTTTTGCACATCTCTTATGCTCAGTCCTCAGCCCTAGCTCCAGATGCTTGGCAGCATGCCTGGGGAAGGGCATTATCTTAAGCTTCAGAGACCCAGTCCTGCTCCCCTGAAGTCAATGAAAGATTTGACACTTCGGTTGGTGCAGATTGGGCCCTAAATTTTCCATGGAGTATGGATTGTTGTACACAAAATGGCCAGCAATGCTGGAATTAGGGGATACTACCACGCTCTGTGGCTTGAAGTAGTAATTAACAAATATTAGATACATGGTTTCCCTGGTTTCCATCAGCAACACCCCCACCATGTTTGCAAATCCCCTGATGCTGGCTAATTTTTAAAATATAATCCTCTTAAACATTTTTAAAATACAGGGGTGACATCATCCATTACGTTTCCTTTGATTCACACAGTGAAATGACAGTAGAGATTTATACTGAACTGATGAGTCACTGACATAAATCTGAAATACTGAAAGATCCTCTTTGGTGTACAGAATGTACTGCAATCATCTGAGGAGCTGGAAAAAGTGTATTATTTTCTTCTTCCATTCCAGGATTATGTAAATCAGCTGTATGGACATCTGCATTTAGAGAGATACAACCTTATTAGTAATGTATAAATGGTCACAACTCACTGTCCCATACTACATACTCATTGAGGGGCTGACTGTGAAACCACTACTCACACCGAAGATCTTAAGCAGCCCCACTGAATTATTCATGTGTTCAATGTGACCAGGTATAGGCAGTCCCCGGGTTAAGTACAAGATAGGGACTGTAGGTTTGTTCTTAAGTTGAATTTGTATGTAAGTCAGAACTGGTACATATTGTAGGGGAAACTCTAGCCAAACATTTCTCCAGAGCTCAGTTTTATTCTCCCACACCTCACTTCCCTCAGTCCTTTATTCTCAAGCTGAGGTGTCTGCTGAGAAAAGCCGCTCCACCTCTCCCTGGTCTGCTGGGGTGGGGGGGCGCTAGCTTCGCATCTCCCTGGTCTGCTGGAGGGAAGCAGCTAGTGCGGGGTTGCCTCACCCCGTTTGTAACTAGGGATCCAATGTAAGTCGGATCCATGTAACCCGGGAACTGCCTGTATATCAGGTTATCAGGATGGGTAAAGCTGGCTAAGATTCTTGGGGAGAGAGAAGAAATCTGTAACTATTCCTGAAGTTCTTAAATATCGTTCCATAAAATGAAGACAGTAGATGTTTACATTAATTTTATTTTTCAAGTCATGTTATTGTTCCCTGACAAGCTGCAAGAAATCATCATCTATGGCTCTGAATGATGGTTTTTTTCACCCCGTTCTTCTGTTGCTTTTGAACGGAACTGTCATTTGACTGCTCTGTCATTTCCACAGTAGATATCTAGAAGTCTTTACTGAGTCAAATAATTTACAAATCAAATCTAAAAAATGTTCAGTGGGCCCTCTACAATATCATTTTTCATGTTATTAATTTTAATAAAGTATTTGGAGTGTCATAATACACTAAACATTATCAGATTATTTTCTTGTTTTGAAGAATATTAGTCTTTCAACGTGTTAGTCTTCAATAATTTCCCCTATATTTTATAGTTCATCTTCAGTTAGTATTTTTTTCCTAATCTTACAATAAGCATGCCAAATTGCCCAAGATGAAGTGGGTTTTAAAATTGCTATAGAAAGAAATCCACCATAGCAGGAGCAGCCTGCAGAAGCAGAGCACAAAGTGAACAAGACCTTCCCAAACTGGAAATCTGGGGAACTATAAGGAAACGTATCACCCAATCCCTGGAGGCAGAAGCCATCCTGCATGGAAAGTTGTCCCTCTGTACAGCTGCATTGTCTGCCTTGATCCCATAGCTCTAGTAGGGACTCTGCTGCTACATTAAGTCTCTTGAAGCTTTTTAGTAGTATCTAGAGTGGCTCTGTATGAATATGTCTACACGACACAGCTTTTAGCAATAAGGTTGTGTCAACAAAGCTTGGTCACTGAGGCAGCATCTAAACTGCAGGCTTCTTACGGAAGAAGGTTTTCTGGAAGAGATCTTCCAAAAAAACTTCTTCTGAAAGAGAGTGTCTACACAGCAAAAGCATATCGAAAAAGCAATCTGCTTTTTCGAAAGATAGTGTCCACACTGAATGGACGTTATCTCTCATGTAAACTATGATTACTATGGACAGAGTGGCCGCCAGGGCACCTTTGCTTTTTCCTCTTTCCTCTTCTTTCAAAATAACTCCCTCTTTCCCGTCCACACACACCTTTTTCCAAAAGAGCTCTTTTGGAAAAAGGCTTCTTCCTCATAGAATGAGAATTACCAATGTCGGAAAACCCCCCTCTGTTCTTTTGATTTTCTTTTGGAAGAACGCAATTGCAGTGTGGATGTAATTGAAGTTTTTTTTCAGAAAAACGGCTGTTTTTCCAGAAAAACTCCTTAGGGTAGATATACCCTAAGTCAGCTTGCATGAACGCTGTTTGTTGGTGCTTTGGCTGACAAAATACTTCCATCATCTCCTCGGCAGGAGCACACTGCTGATGACAATGCAGCAT